AATCTTAATAAAGTACTAACGTGACTGCTTAAGTTTAAAAAAAAAAATAATAATAAAAAAATAAAAGGTACTACCAAATTTTAAATTTAAGAAAAAAATATTAAACTAAACTTAATATATTAGAGATAGGATATAATTCTTCTAATCTAATGAATTAAAAGTTTAAGAATAAAATAAAGATATAAGAGGAAATCAATAAAAGAGACAAATTATTTTTAGTAAAATTTTTAAAATTTTTAAATTTAAATAACTTAACAACTATTTAATCAAGTTTGTTAAAAATATTTTTATTTTAATCTTAAAATTATATAAAACTAAAATAAAAAAAAATTTATCAAATTTAATAAAATAGTTGTTAAGATATTTAAGTTTAAAGTCAAGAAAATTTTTATTTAGAAAAAATTTATTTCTTTTCTATTAACTTCTCTCTATATACTAAAATATTAAAAATATGCTATAAAATTAATACTATGTTGAAGTGTAGTAACTTAGTAAAGTAGACAAATGTTTAACTCTTAAGTGACAGTTCTAGAGTTCAAATTCTTGTGTTATACTAGCATGACTAAAAGGTCATATAGTATTTATACAACCTTGTATGAAGGAATACAAACTAGTACCAGGTGGTGTAAACTTATAATAAGTTCTTATGACTATATAAATTACAGAAACCAAGAAAATAGAAGTCTACTTGAAAGATATAAGTAAAGAAGTAACCAAAACTTTAACAATGCTACTGTAAAAATTAGATTTATGAAACAATCTAAAATCTGTAAAGCTGGATAAAAATAAGGCAATCTTTAGAAAAAAACTATTGTAACTAGTTAGGCTACTAAGATTTATTCTAGAAAAAAGGTTATATATTAGAAAACATGCAAATCAAAAATATAATTGTATTTATCTTTTTAAGTTATTTGAACTAGAAACTTAATAGAACTTGATTTGAATATTGAAGTAATAAAAATATATTGTAAAGTAAGTACTAAGTTTGAAATGAACTCCACAAAAACATAATAGTTTAATAGTATGCCTTAACTGCAAGTATTGGTCTTAGTTATAGTATTATTAAGTTAGTTATAAAAATAAAATACAAAAGATTCTAGAAAGTTTAATACAAAGTCAAAAGTTTTTATATGAGTGACTGTTTTAAAGATTTAGTAATCATAACATATTTGTATTAGTATTAACTAGAACATCTTGGTAGATGTAAATAGATTAAATAGATATAGAAACTAGAATGTTTAAATAAGAAACTTATAAGCAGGTTTTAGATATAACAGCTAATGTAAAATCCTTAGACAGACTACTTAAATTAAATAATAACTAAAGTTGTACAAGTGTCTAATTGTTACTCTTTCCATAGTTGTTTTTTATAGTTGTAATACAACTATTAGCTAAATGTACTATTAATAAAATCTTGGGTCATAAGTACTTATTTTAATATTTTAAAAAAAAATTAGTACTAAGTTTGAGTGAACTTTATAAAAGTATAACTTTGTTAATAGTTTATAAAATAGATAAATTAATTAATAAAAAAACATTTGAAGTTTTATAGTCAACTAATATACTTTAAAATATATAATAATTTGACAGATATATAAAAAAACTAAATATTAGATTAGATAATACTTAGATATATAAAAACTAAATATTATTTATTTGATAAAATATAATAATCAGAAAATTTAAATAAGTAGCTACCTAATTAGATTGCAAATATAATAATTAGTATAATACTTTTGAACAGACTATTTAAATAAATAATTAAAAGTTATATGTTTAATTAATTGTATGTTATTTTATACAAGTTATAATTGAAAACACAATAAAAACAATAATTGTTATTTTTATTTTTTTTAAAATAATCTCTTTGGTCTTTTGAGTTTTATTAATGACTTTTTTGATAATATAATTTTATAAACTATTACAAAAATAGTGTACAATTAACTACATGTATAGCTTTTTTATATTACCTATTTAAGAAGTCTGCTTAAAGATTTCTTATTAATTGCCATATATAACATCTCTGCTTGGGTGTTTTATTTTAAACTTTCTAAATCTAAGCAGTAACTATTATAAATATTGGTCTTAATAATAATAATTATAATAATAACAAAATTAAAAAAATACCTATTAAAATAATAATAGTAATAAAATTTAAATGAAAATAACTTAAAAACCATCTACCCAAATTTGATAAAAATTTTTTATTACAATTATATGCTCTATAAAATTAAAATAAAAAAAATTGTTAAATTTGATTAATTATTGTTAAGTTATTGCTAAGTTATTGCTAAGTTGTCTTTTTTTAAAATTATATCAAAAATTTAAATGCTTATATTGATCATTGCAGTGCTAATAAAAAGATAAAATCACATTTTGCAGTGTTAGTAGCAATTCTTATTGTTAGGATTATGCAATCACATAATATGCAAAAAAAACATTCTAATTCTGTGACTTAAACATGATTGATGGATATGATTTTTAAATATGAGAATAATAAAATTAATAAACCGATTTTCTTAAATATCCAAGATTTTAATAAAGTTTTTTTTTATAAAACAGTTATAAATGTTTTTTCAATTTTTTCTTGTTAATAAAAAAAAAACTAGATGCTTAATTAAGAAAATATAAAGCAATATGGTTACAGTCACCTAATGACATAGAAATTCTTTGTATAAATATGGCTTTTATGCACGGAGGAAAATTTTTTTGTCAGTTTTGTCAAACCACTGTGGATTATGAAAAAAAGACCGTAATAGATGAATATTTGACATCTTCTACCCATGAATCAAAAAAAAAACTCCGCACTTAACGTTAAACTCTTGTTCAACGTGCAATTACCGCTTTAAATAAGCCTTATGATTAAATTGCATTAGTATATATTTGGTTACTGGTTTCAGGAGTAGATGTTGAGGGTAGCTTTTCGGCTTATAAGCGAATTTTAACAGATAATATGCATGCTTTGTCAAAAAAATTCAATTAGAATGTTGAATTTTTTAAATTTTAATAAATAAATAATCTTTTCAGAGAAGGTTTAAAAATCGCATCCTCTATTTAATTATTTTGCATAATTTTATTTATTTCGCATCCATCGCATAATTGACCTCGATCGCATCGCATCGCATATCGCACCGCATAATTCTGGACAACCTACTTATTGTATAGTAATTATCATGTGACAGCACTTACGAAGGGAGGTTATTATATATAGGCCAAGAAGATAGCATGAATTTATTCATAAGGCCCCAGCATGGGCCAGTCAATTATTGTGCATTTAGGGATGCATTTAGGAGTATTAACATATAATTTTATGGTAGTTCACATATTTTATAGAATTAACATATAATTTTATGGTAGTTCACATATTTCATATTTTATAGATTTGGAAAATGATCTTACGGAACTATGTAAATTTTATGAATAAAAATTAAAATGTCTAGCCATCCAGTAATCCAATTTAAATAAACTTTTTTTTATTTTGTAAAGCTTAGTGAGTTCTACAAAATAAAAAAAAAGGGTTATTTGAATTGGATTACTGGATGGTTAGAAATTTGGATTTTTATTCATAAATCTACATAGTCTCGTAAGGTCATTTTCAAGATAAAGACCTCATATAATTTTTATCGGAAGACAGTTAATAAGATGAAATCATACGTATTGTTTTCGGAAGAATAATATAAGAGTTGTAGAACATATAATCTAAGTATAATTCTAAAAACTTTATCACATAATTCTAAAACTTTATCGCATAATTTCGTAATTTAGCATAAATCAATTTGTAAAGCAGAGAATTCGGTGTCCGTCGCAACAGAAAATGAGTAGCCCACCCGAGTTTTACTCAACCCGGAAACGACCTCTAGTTCTGTTTGTTTGGTTTGTTAATGATAGAGGTATTGTAACTAAAAACTGTCACGAGATATCTTTTTGTAAGAGGCTTGAATTTACACTTGTCAAATCTATGCGTCTTTTATGATAGGTTGTTAAAGAGTAGATAGTATGCACGAAGTTCATCCAGCAATGCCCAATTACCATTAAAACAGAATCAGTGATATCACACAACAACCACATAGATACAGAAGTAAACTTAAACATATTTTTTGCATTTTTTTATTCAATAAGCATAGAATTTAAAGTCAAATTTAGTTGTGTAGTTGCCATGATATTATTAACAACATTGTTTTTAATGCTAGAAATAACTAAACGCTCTGATCTAACTGGTGTGATTAACTTGCCGTTTAAGGGTAACAAATCATAAAAACCACTACCGATAAGGATTAAACTGAACATGTAAAGTTATTGTTAATTTCCATATTTATGTTTTGAATAAAAATAATGAAAATTATAATTATTAGTTATATTATTCAATGCTTTCTAATTCAATAATTGATTGAACAATTTGTTATTAATAATCAAAAATTAAAAATCGTCATCACTAGCTCTGGCCAACTCTTATTTTAAATCTTGTGCTGTATACGAAATACGTAATTTGTAATGTCATACAAATGCAAAGTAAATCAGAGTTTTTATTCAATTAAAAATGATCCACCAACTCGGATTTAAATTTAAATTTTTAACCATAAAAATCCTTTTTGTTTAAAAAGCTACCCGGCAGTTTTTAAGAGTTCGCAGAAAAGAAAACCCTGCAAGATTGTTCAGACCCAATAACTTTATACGTATAGTCCAACAGGTTATCAAAAAACTAAATTTTCTTACTTAAATTTCCAAATTCAGAGTACATATGAAGTTTGTTACCGACTTGTATCGGTAAATTAATAGTAGCACAAAATAATTCTTTACCTACACATAATAGAAATAATAAATAGTGATAGTTGTTACATTCATGCATATATTTATTAAATTCCAAATAAGTAAATTGGTTGTTCATACAAATTGTGCTTCATGTTTTATTGCGTGACTGCTATAAAAGAGCGAAGACCGAACTGTTCACCATGTTGGCACTATCCTCAATTTTCTATATTTTAATAAATATATAGTTAACAATGATATTAAAGGAAATTATTGTTATCTTATTTTTCTTCACATTCTTTTGTAATGCTTCTGAGCAATATCCAACACCAAATGCACTTTGGATAGTTACAGACCTCGCTGGTAAAGTATTTCAACCCGGTGATACGTTTGATTTCGCAGTTATGGCCCCAGATAATTATACTGGCACATATAATATAAATTTAAGAAATCATGAGATGCCCAGAGCTGGTTATGTCACGCTTCTATCAGGAATTTCCTTTAAAGGTGGACTTAACACTTTCAATCTCGAGATTCCATCGAACAGCCAACTCTCGGTGCCGAGTCCTGTATACTACATTATTTTTTGGGGCCCTACTGACGAGGATTACTCAGCCACTTTTACTATTGGAGAACCAGGGTACGGAGTTAGTATAGTGAACCCTGCTGCGGGTATAGTTTTACACCCCGGCGACACATTTGAAGCTAGTTGGTATGGAACTTACGAAAGACCTGATGTTGAAGGCATTGAGTTCATTCACGTGAGTAAAATAAATGATTCTATGATAATACATGTCTCAGTCTCAAATTCATCAAATTATATAGGCATTATTAGAACCCGCAGAAAACGATGATTTCCCTCATACTTATCCTTTCCAAGCTGATAGACAAATAAGTTTTGAGTCACAATATTTCGAGTTGAAGTTACCAACAGATATTTTGGCACCCAGAGTCTGGAAATTTGGATTTCTGTTTAATACAAGTGACGGGAGTTATAGTACAATTGTTTCTAGCGGGTCATTTTTAATACTTCCTAACGACGACGATCAACCACCTAATGATTCATCAGACCCCGATTCGGATGACCAAGATTCGGATGACCAAGAACCGGATGACCAAGATTCGGATGACCAAGACTCGGATGACCAAGATTCGAATGACCAAGACTCGGATGACCAAGATTCGAATGACCAAGATTCGGATGACCAAGATTCGGATGACCAAGATTCTAATGATCAAGATTCGGATGACCAAGATTCGGATGACCAAGATTCATATGACTCTTATTCGAATGACCCCGATTCATATGACTATTACTCGAATGACCCCAATTCGAATGACCAAGATTCATATGACACCAATCCGATGCAACCCTGAAAATATAGCTTAGTAAAACGCAAACTTAGTATGCATAATTAAAATAGAAAATATAGGCATCAATTTGAATAGAAACAACATAATATTATATAAATTTAAATAAAGTTTTTTTTTATTTCAAAAAAGAAACACGAAATAGCATTGTTACGTTACATACAAATATATAGATTACTAAACATGTTGGGCAAATATTCAAGTGAAAATTTAATAATATTGAAAGTGTCGACATTTATAATGTTAAAATTATCTGTAGAAAGTATATATAGGGTAGAAATTTTCGTATAAGTTTCTAATATGTAATTTTTTGCATGTAAATAAAGTTGGCCTAGTGCTGGCAATAATCATGTGCCAATGCACTAGTTAATGTAAAGCTATGTCCGTACGTTCGTACGTACCTGTACATAATTTGTATTGTATCTATTGTGCCGAAATTACAAACTTAATCGAATCGGTCAGAGCATCATTCGGACAATTATTATCAGATGTTCCAAGAATTATGAAAATAGCCGTAACTCAAATTCTGAAAATAAATTCCTTTTGATTCGCAGGGTCCAGTTTTTGATTCAAAAAAAGGCCGACTTTTTTGATACCATCCCATATAACTTAATTCTTCTAACCTAATAAAAAATCGACCTTTTTTTATGAATAAAACAAAAATGATCCAGTGAAACATCTAAAAGAATGGGATTGCGATTTCTAAGTATTTGAATGAAATTATATAAAGGTGAGATAGTAACAACGAATTAATGAAAAAAAAACTTAAAATTTTAAACCAAACCTAAAAACTAAATTTTTTTTTACTAAATTTGATTAAGCTAAGATTTGGTGCGTTTCTACTGCTCACCCCGTATACATACCCGTAAAATAGTTAATATATTATGGATATTACTATTTCTACCATATTTAATTTTCTGTTTCACCAGTTCAATACCAATAGTGAGCACGTGATAACTATAGGGATGCAGTTATACTGGTATAAGTCACGTGCAAATTTAGTTATTTTATAACCCGTATCGGTATAATAATAATATGATATAGCATGGTATAACTGTCGTACGTCGGAATGGGATTCCAAATTATTTCATCAAGTACATCGTTTTGGAATTTAAGTCGTTTTAAGACAGTTTATTATAGCATTGCGCATTGTAAATTAATTAAATTTAAAAGCATTACACGAAGTTTTTATATTTATGATTAGTGTCACTTACATTTACAATGATTTTTATCACACGTATTTTTGCAATTGCATTTAATATTATCTACTTGTAAAGACGCATCTAGAACGCTTATGAACGGTGAAGAAATACTATCCAACTTGCGAAACTCAATAAGTTCGATCTTTCGCATTCCCGATTATATGTTTGCTGAATCTTAATGCAAAAATCAAAGTTTTTCACGTATTATAAATGCCTATTTGTTGACTTTTTGCTAAAAAATTTGGAAAGCAGTTCTTCGGATACATTACGAGGTAAAATGAGGTTTGGCCATCACGTAGAGAGTGTTGCAAAGAATGAAAACTGGAATAGAAAAAAGCAAAGTAAAAAATTTGCACGTTGACAATTTATCATGACGATATGATGTAATTTAACTATCGTTCGTACATTTATTACAGTATCGAATTTTAAAATCAACTTAAATTTCTATCAACCTATTGATTATACAGTATCAAATTTAGAGTCGACTTATGTTGCTTTTAAATTTCCTATCAACTTGGACTATATTTGAAATTTCGTTCCATAACTATTGTCCGAAATTTTTCGGAATTGTTATAAGGGAAACGGTATTATACCAAGCGTAAAATATGCTATAGTGTAAATTCGCATTCCTAGCCATTTCCAATAGATGTAAGTCACATGACAAATTTTACAAAAAAAAGACTTTTGATTTGTACCCACCCCAATTATATATTTACGTACGTTCTTAATAGAATGTACCAAAGTCTGCGTGCAATTTATCACTATTCATTTATTTTCCACCAATCACGCCAATGCTTCTAATTCTAATAGCGCTAGAACGTTTTGCAGCATAGATAGGAACAAGTTTACTAATTGTTAACTTATACTTTTTCAGATTAATGCAAAATCAATTGTTCATGTTTGTTGAACGTTAATTAAATTTTTTTCATTTTAAATGTTTATTAATAATAAATAAAATTTATTTCATTTATTTAGTTGATCTTTAATACGTAATAAAAAGTTTTAGTCTTTCGTTTCTTAAATTATTTTATTATTTCAAAGATTTTAATTTTTCATCGCAGGAAATCTTACCGCTTTTTGTGCTTTCCGGGGTAATTTTTTTGCGGTAACCTTTTCAAAAAGGGTGTTTTTATGCATTCCTCAGGGAGACATCCCCTTCACAACTCAGTGTAACATAACATGTTCGGGAAGATTCAAAAAAAAAACTCATGCACTAACAAAAAGTTTTCCTTAAGCAAATTTACTATATATTCTACGTATTTCTAACCCGAATCTAAACGCTAACTTGGTATAAATAAACCTTAAGAAATTTTTGTCTCCCGTGGGAGATGCCTATAATTTCCTTTCGAAAAGAAAATGCCAATATGCAAAATACAAAAATGCAAAATAAAATTTGTATTTCTATTGTGCATAACTAATTAAAAATATATTTTGAATTTAGAATTTCTGTTTACAAATTTTTAAATGTTCACAAAGACTTAATTTCAATGTTACAAATAAACCATTAAATATTATGTAGCATGGTTTTTTAGTCATATACTGGTACTCGAAAGGTAAATCCGGTTGTCAAATGCCATACTATAGCACAAACTTATTTCTCCGTTTTATTTGTATATAATTGGTAGAAATAATATGATACTACAGTTCTAGCTTATTAAATTTGTAACCAAAGAAATTGATTTTTTTTTTTTAAGTCCCATAGAACTGGCATATTTGTTATTGTGTGATTTTAGAAAGCCATTTTCTCTAAAAGTTCTGCATTAAGCTAATGCCGACTAACTTTGTAGGGATTAGGAATAAAACTTACCGGCTCCTTAGTCGAATAATATTCGAATAATTTAGATTAGCAAATGTCTATTTGAATATTCGCTGATATTCTCCGAATAACTAGAAATTATTAGAATAATATATATAGCGAAGCAATCAAATTTGAAGTCTCATATGAGAACAACAGAGTAAGAGTTTTTATTCGCATTATTTGTCAAAGAATTATTTAGAAAGGTTTTATCCGAATATTTGCCGAATACGAATATTACTCAAATAACGATTACGAATAAGAAGCTCTATTCTGGACTTGAGTTACATTGGGCGTACTGTACTTAGAAAAGTACATTTCTAACCAAAAAAATAAATAAATACAAATAATAGATATATCAAACAAAATAAAATGGGACAAAGGTGCACACGATTAATTTAACATTTTACCAACACAATTCTTGGATTTTATTAATAATAAATTATAATGTGATGCGTATCATATTCATTTATGATATATTTTTTTTCTAAATGCAAGCTAATAAAATTTTAATTAGCTACACTAATTAAATATACTAATTAAGTAATGACGAAGCTTGTATCCATAGTAAACTAGGATCTCTAACACTTTTCTCGTCATAAAATAACCTATAGTCTGCCTTTCTATATGAAAATTCTAAAACTTCTTGTTCATTTACAACACTATAGATTTCAAATATAGGAAATGCGAGAGTACCATAAAGGTCAAAAGGTTGTGGTGAAAGTGGATTATCAAGTATTCCTAATTCAAACAAATCCTCAAATAGTGCGTAACTATTGAAAGCTTGCCCACCAGAAAATGATGCAAATGATAAAGGTGTATCTGCAAATCCACCAACTGCTATGGTGGCAACTCCTTGCAATTCTGCTAAATGCTGAGCTATTATTGCACATGATGATCCGCAGATACCATTTGTTAAAATAATTATATTTTTTGATGTCCATGGGTATTTTGACGGATTGTTTCCAAGGACTTGTTGGAAGATTGCTCTATTTCCAGCATGGATGAATTTGTTAGTATATCTTACTTGAGTCCCACGTGTGTATACGTTGTTCCCTATAAAATCTTGGGAAGTGTTAAATACTTGTTCTGTAGAAAATAATGCATATTGTTGTGCCTCAAAGATGCTATCAGATATTTTTCCTGTAGTCGCTGTTTGGATTGCTAATGTGGAAAAGTTAGTGACTTTTGCGTCACTTGGGAAAGAAGGATTGGTGTTTGGGAACAATAAAATATTCACAAATTCAGCAACGGATATTATGCCACCACTATTATTGGTAAGATCAAGCACAATCTAAAAAAAAAAAAAGCAATTTAAAAATAAATAATTAAAAATAAATGTTTTTAGTAAAAATTGTTAAGGTTATACCTTTTTTGCTCCCATCTCATTAAGTTTATTGAAACCTTGTAAAATGTTCATCATCTGTTCTTGTTCATCAACGGTAGGATCGAGAGTAGAAATTATTGCAATTCCGGTCTGGTCCTGCATGTAAAAACGAGAACTCGTACCATTAAAAACCATTTGTGCTTTTGATATCATGTTATCATAAGTTTTACTGTAGTCCCCAAAATTATTAAGTGGATTAATGGGAGTAGGAGTTGTCGTAGCCACGCAAAAATTGTTCCAATAAGAATTCGAGTCTGTAAAATTATCATAGAAATCTGATGTTATCTTCCAGGATCTCTCGATTGTCAAAGTGGACCCATTGCAAGTTAAACCATATGAGATGCTAGGTTTTTCGGGTAATATACGACTTTTGGTAAATTGTTGGGTTAATGGCGATACTCTGATGTTATTTTGATTAAGGCTAAGAGAAGATATCACCGAATTAAACCGTACGCCAAGATCTTTGGACGTAAAAGTCTTTTCATTTGCGAATTCGATTAAAACTTCCATGGCTGGACGAGAATTAATTGTTACTACTTCACAATCAATTAAATTATTATCAATTACATCATTGAAAATTTTGATTGCCTAAAATTTAATAAATTTATACAATTACTATTAATGTTAATAATCAGAATTTCAAAAGGTGCTTTCCTGTTTCCCGTCAGGTTTGATAATAGAATATAAAGATAGTCCTTGGTCAAGTGTGAATATTTGATTATAACAGTTAGAGAAAAAAAAAAGGTGCCCGTCTTTCAGTTGAAATAACAATAATTGTAGTTCTGTCTTTTGAAAAAAAAAAACATTCAGTCAAATTCTATCGCTATTAATTTTTTTGTCGAAATAATATTCACATACAATGAATTGAAAATCTGTACTATATTGATCATTAAGCAATGCATCAAGCTTGCTTATTATATCAGTAGATTGAAATGTGAAGCCTGGTTGTGGTGGTTCTTTAGCTTGATCTAAAAATGGGTAGAAATTTTCCAAGATACCCTTAATAGTGCTAATTGTCTAATAATAAATTCGTGTTCATTCTTAAAAAGTTAAACTGTTAACATAATCATATTAGCATATAAATTATATACCTTATTCGCTCGCGTAGCATTAAATTTAAAAGTTTTAAAGCAAGTTTCCAAATCATAATAATCAGCGTAATAAGTATCACTGCTATTTTTTCCCTTCAAATAACTCTCGTGAATTTTTGCACATGCATCGATAGGAACATCAGCTTCAATGGAGGCATTAGTTTCTATATTAGATAATGTACTTTGTATTATGTATCTTTTAAATTCGTGTCTAGAGTAGTGATCGTCTAACCAAAAATATTGAATCAAATTTAAAGATAATAAGAAAATAATAAATAACAGAAACCCGCAAAGCTCAACCTTGGATTTCATTATTATCATAGTTGCTTTTTGAAAAAAATATCTATCAATATGGTATATAGTCCACATATTATTTTCATGTATACACATATAACATGTATTTTATGTTTACTATATCACTGATCCAACTTTGACACAGCCAAAAAGCTTTGAAAATCGTACAACGGCAAAAGCTAAAGCCTCATCTCGAATTTATTCCTTATATATACTGTCAACTATATCGATATAACGAACACCCTTACCGATCTACAAAGCGGATTTCACTATTTCGCAACTCAGGTTTCATCCTGTTCTATTATAAATATCGAAATTATCGGTAACGGTAATAAAAAATGTAGTTTTCTAATTTAATTTTCGGCCGGTATAATCTTGTACCAGCCGAAAGTCATATCATCAAATCTTCATAGGCAGAAGTTCGTCTGATTGGCTAATAAATTTACATTATTTATACAGTTTAGAATACTTTTTAAAAAAAGTAAAAAAAACAATATAGAAGGTTTCATTAGAGCTATAGGACTCCATAGTCAAAAATAAGATCTAATAATCATCTGTTTAAAAAAATTAGCTTAGTAATAAGTTGATTTTATTGGGTTTGAGAAGTTATTACTATACTAACTTTTTTAAATGGACGAGAATTAGATCTTATTTTTAGCTATGTAGTCCTACAGCTTTAATGAAACCTTCTACGTATACAGCTTTTTTTATTTCATTATTATTAGTTTTCGTTTTTTTAAAAAGTAATCTAAGCTATATAAATAATGTAAAATTAAATTGAATTTACTAGCCAATCAAACAAACTTCTGCCTATGAGTCGAAACTACAGATTTTTTTATTACCAAAAAAATCATTATCGAGTTTGCCAATGATCATAAAGTTCATCACATGCCCAAAGCAGCTGTAATAAGAAATTCAAAACGGCTACGTATAACGGAATCAATAGTAGAAAGGCAATGTTATGTGTAATGGACATTTTGTCTGGTCCACTTACTAATTTTATTATTAGAGCGAATTTATTTGTCGCCGGCGGTGACAGACCCAAGCCAATCAGATTGCACGATTCAAAAATTTCAAAAAATTTCATATCAATAACTCAAATTTATGCCTATGAAGCCAACATTCGCGCCTTAGCAAAAAATATTCCTTGCATAATTTTACTATATATTATGACCCTTTTCTAACCCTAAATAAAATCTGGGTACTGTCACCACCGGCTACAAGTATATTATCTGTTTACATAAATTCTGGAAAATCTGCCGACCGAATATTTGCCGATTCGATTCGGCAGTGATAAACTTTTGATCCGGGTGTAATCACATCCGAATCAAAAGTTTATCAAAAAAACTTATCGAATAGGCAAATATTCGGTCGGCAGATTTTCCAGAATTTATGAAAACACGTAATGGTGCGCGGTTCTATGACTGCAATGTTACAGTACTACGTAACAACAGCAATTTTACTAACATTTAGCTCATATCGACTGATTTGGATAAGGAAATCCAATCTTCCCGATGATCATTCGGCTGAATTCGATAAGTTTTTGAATTAAGCATTACTGTAATGCCGATAACACCGAATTCAAAAACTTATCGAATTCGGCCGAATCAATTTTTATCAGTAGTCTCGGAATTTATGATAATAGCTGTAATATTATAAAATTTTCGGCCGCTTTAAAACTATGTCGGAAGTTAACTTACAGCTATTATCATAATTTCTGGAACACCTGCTCCTTACTCGAAATCTTTTTGGTTGTTCGGTAAATTACCTAATTCTTCGGAAATTACATCACTGCCTCCGGACTGAAGGTCTGAAAACAGTGTAGTTTCTGGAGAGTTATGTAATTTACCGAACAACCAAAAAGATTTCGGGTAAGGAGCAGGTGTTCCAGAAATTATGATAATAGCTGTAACTAAATGGAATTTCTGATATTTTACAAAAGAATTTTGTGCCATGCTAGGAGGTTATATTTATTTATTAGAATTAGTCAATATTGATATATATTAAGGGTAGGGACACATAGATCATTTTTATATAGTTATGTATGGTGTAACGATACAGGTCGGAACTACCCTAGAATTCCCTATTCATAGGGTAGCCGTTGGGTCGTTCGCGTAACGTTGGACGTTACTACACTCAAAAGAGGCGTTGGATTTGGCGAGTGTATCTGGTAAGTATTTCTTTATTACGTCCTGTTCTATTCTATGTTCTTTGTATCCTATTCTAAATGCATTACTTATATACTTTTTCCCTATCTGCTAAATGCACTACTTATGCTAAATACACTAATTACGCTAATTACATTATTTATGCTAATTACACTTTATATGCCATATACGCTATATACGTTATATACGCTATATACGCTAT